TGTTACCTGAGATAGAATTGGTTGAGATTTGAGAGGAGGAGAGACAGCCTGATTTTTTTGGCCACTGGCCTCTAAGATTTCAAATTAGGTTGTCTAACAGGAAAACACAAGGTTTTTGGGCCTGTTCCCATTCTTTCAAGTAAATTAAAATGAAATACTGTTGCTGCTGTGATTGTCTAAAGACATTTTCTCGGCTTCTTGCTTGTTCTGCTTTGTACTGTTGTGGGTAACAGCCAACTGATGATCTTATTTAATGCTGCTTGGCTCTCTAGGCTATTCAGTGAGTCAAAATGGCTCCTCATTTGACTTGGAAAGCTCAGAGAGACTTCTTCCACTCCAGTTTGTCAGATAGAATCTTCCTAGAGCAAGGGATCTAAGAAATGGCCCTCTTATATAAGAGGATCCTACTATTCATTTTTCTGGGAGTCTGTCACCCCAGACTTTGACTTACATTTAGACTGACTTCAGAATCAGTTTTTGGAGGAGGGGTACTATATTTACGTGGCCCCAAGGTAACTTGGACTGTAAGACAACCCCCGAGTTATTGGATTTACAACTTTCAATGTATAGAATCCAATTATTGAATGGTCATCTAAAATTTATCCCTTGCCCCCCTGCTGCAGTGGTGAAAGCATCAGCAGGGGCAGGTGGCCTGACCGTTGCCCCTCTGCTGCCTGACCCCATGACCCTTACCTCCCCCACTTGTACCCCTGTTGGTTGCCCCCCTGTCATTTGCCCCCCAGCCTGGTGCCTGTGCTCCCTGTTGCCTGTTTCCCTTGCTGCTTGCTCTGCCAGGTCCTGTCCCTCCTCACCACTTTTGCCTGTCCCCTGCCCCCTATCTATCCCTCCTTACCCACCCCTGCTGTTGCTTACCCCACGCAATGGTTCTGGCTCCAGCTCTGGCCCAGGGCATGGAGCACACAGTGGCTCTATCCCTGGATCCAGTCAGGCGGCAATAGCTGCTCCAGCCCTGGCCACATCCCTGGCCCAGTGACAGAGGCAGTGGCTTCTGCGTGGGTGCTAGCTCCAGGTCAGGGCCACAGCTGCAGCAGCTCTCCTGTTGCTTTGTGGTCTCCCCCACACTCCTCTTGGGTCACACATTGCACAGTCTCTCCTGCACATCCTCCCTCTCCCCCACCCCCCCCACATCCATCTTGCAGTCTCCCCTGCACTCACCTGACCACGCAACCCCTCCCCCATTACATGAGCCAACTCAAGCCATCCCAGCCCTGACCAGGCAATGCTTGGGCCCCAGATTCTGGTTCTAGCTCCAGTATTTGCATCCAAGACAAGGCTTCCTCTCCCCTCATGTGGAATGGGGAAAAATAACTCACCTTGGAATCAAGTAAATATGGTCTTTTGGAACCATTCTCATGAATATTGTGCAGTCTATTCTTTCGGATAAGCTGCTGAAAAAGGTAATATGGGATGTAGTGGGAGAGAGAGGAAGTTGGTACACCAGCTGCTCACAGTTGACACAATCATGCTCAGCTGACAGTGGGGCAAGTTTTCATTTAAAAGAGTAATGTGATAATGAAAATGAGGTCATGTCACATTTTGTTATAGAATAACTGTCTCCAAAACTTGGCTGGAGCCATGCATAGATGAGCAGATACTGTTATTCAAAAAATAGGAACATCATTTAGACATGGGTCCTGGGAGAGCTTTCTTTATTACTGAGGTTATGGACTTCTCCCACCTTGAAAATCTTGAGGCTTGCAGTAAGATGAGTGACCTATAACTCCCTCAGTTATAATGTCACACCTGTGTCTGAGGCCAAGCACCAGGTGAAACAGGTATTCATATCATTACTAAACATCCTGGGGCAGGTGTTTTGGAGGCTATAAGCAGAGCTACTTCTGGAACTTCTTTGAATGAATATAAATAAATGTACAGTATATTAAAGAGTGCTGGCTTCCTCTGCTGCATGTAGTGGTAATGGCCAGTCCAGCCTCACATGCCACGTGCAGCACACGCTGGCCTTGGGGTCCAATGTGCATGTGGCCTTTGGGGCTTCCTGTGGCATGCGGGTTGGGCTTGGCACTGTGTGCTGCATGAAGTGCCCTGGTCTGACCCCCTGTGTTGCCTGCAGCATGTAGCGCCATGCAGGCACCACACAGGGGCAGGGCTGGTTCATAAGGTGGAAAGATTATATTGCCACACACAAAGGTGGATGAGTTTTAAACCCCTCCAGCTGCCCCCGGGAGAGCTATGCCTGTGTCTCATCCACTCTCTGACCCTTTTATTAATCTGTTTGCCACTTTTGAAGAGTTTTACAAGCATACCCTAAAAGTTTATTGCAGCGAAAAATCATACAAACCTTTACAACTTAACTAAAAGAGAGATTGCACATGTGGCTGTAAAGGGCCAGGCAAGTTCCTTAAATTTCCAAGCTCTGAAAAAGCACCTTAAATGCCCATCTTAACATTTTAAAAATATAGATTTTATTTTTGCTCTTGTATGTCTTGAGATATTTCTTCAACAAAGCAAATTACACGCCTATCAGAACTGCTAACAGATTTGATCTTGGAATATCATTTGATAGTTATCACATTAAGCAGTAAAGCACATTAAGCAGTAACACTCAGTGGAGATCACTTAATTAGTCGATATCAAGTTGTTTGTGACAGTGTCTAGTGTGACAATAAATGGCATTTTCTTGCATTAATATATAGGGTAGTTGGCCATTGATGTTAAAAGTTGTGATAATAGGGAGAGCATGATATGAAGAGGAGCGGTATTATTTGGGTTTTACCAAACAAATCTTGCTTCTCCCATATTCCCTGGACCATCAAGGATACAGCAATACTATAATGCTGCTATATCTAAATGTTATTATATGAACTTCCAGAGGAGATGATATGTTTCAGGTCTGGTTAACTAAATTATAAGTCTGCTGCACTGATATTTTGCCAATTCTGTCATTCAAAGAGAGATCCTTTTCCTTATTCTCTTCTCTGTTTTATTTTTTGGCCTGTCTGACTCTCTAGAGGTGTTTTCCAAAATGGTAGTTAACATTAAGTGGCTCATGTACATACATCTAAGACATTTCTACTCATCAGAGTAACTTTCCTTAAAAAGCTAAAAGAAGTTGCTGTCCAGTCTGGACATTCCGGATTCTGTTCTGGAACAACTTGAATTTGTCAACACAAATGAGATGGATGACATCAGCAGGCTGTGTACTTCTGGGACCCATCATAGATACCCACTTTCACTGCAGTTTCTGTTTTATTGGAGACAGGATTCAGAAGCTGGTGGCCATAATATCATCCATTCTCCAGTCATAGCAAGGCTTTGATGACTTGAATTGGGGTGGATATGCTGTTGTTCATGAATTTCTACACATCTCGAAGTTTATTTTCCCAGACTACAGGAGGCATCAACCCTGTCTTCCCTTCCTTGTTGACTCCCCCAGTATGTTAGGATTTGGAGAGCATTGATCTAGAACAGGGATGCTCAGCCCCCGGCCTGTGGGAACCACGCCATCTGGCCCACAGGTGTCCTCATGGGTGCAAAACTTGTGCAGCAGAGGACCGGAAGTGGCAGTTGTTGCTCTTCTGCTGCCAAATTTCTGAACTCGTGGGGAGCCCTGTGGCCTAGGTGGTACACTAGGTTGGCATGTGGATGTGGCTTGGGGCCTGACCTGGGCTCGTGGAGTCCAGCTGGAGGTGGTGTAGGGCCTGATGTGGCAGCAGGGAGCCCAGGGGGACAGCACAGGGCAGAGGGATGAAGTGCAGGGCCCTCATTTGGGGGCAGAGGATCAAAGTAAGTGGCACAGGGCTCTGATAGGCAGTACATGGATCTGGTGGCATGGGGCCAATTCTTAGGTGTGGGGTCTAATCCAGCCCATGGAACTACACCACACCACTCATCATCCCTCAGCCCTAAAAGGTTGAGCAGTGGTGATATAGAAAATCCATGTCAGACTTGGGAACAATTTAATCCTTGGATAGCAGAAGAACACATCTCTAACAGAGTATTGGTTTGCTTAGCCTCAGAGCAATTCATTCCTAAGGCCCCTGAAAGATGTTAAAGTAAAGGCACGATGGGAACTGATGCAGAATCCCAACAATTGCTCTTCCTGATCACAGGCTGCCCCTGCACCAGCAAGTAACAAGCTTTGTCCCCTTACACTCCCATGGCTGGGAGCCCCATCAGCTGATCAGAACTCCCAGCTGGGGCAGTGCGCCCGTGCACATGTTACACTTTGTGGCTGGTTCCTATCATGACTGATTAAATGTGTGGCCAGTGCCCAGCCTCTGGAGCATGTGGGAACCTTTCAAGACTCCCCTGTGCTCGGGAGGCTGGGAGCCTCAGTTAGCTGAGGGGTACTGATCAGTCCCAGTCCTGATTAGCCAGTATGTACTAGTAGTGTCTTGCAACTCTTTAGCACTGGCTTTGATTAACAAGGAAGGATTTACCAGATCCTTAAACTATCTATAAGCACCTGATCTTCTCTGTTTCCAAATTAAAAGGCAATGAATAAAATCTCTCAAACACCATTCTTGAAAAGGGGAATCCAGGAGAAGGAATCTACAGCCCAAATCCTTAGAGTAAAGATTTGGGCTTGAGTTAGTGGACCTATTTACTTCTGGAACAGAGAGATAAATACTAATTACAGATGAAGACATTAAAAGGCTTTAGTTACAAACATGTACCTCACATGACCCAAAACATAACTACTTTCTATGTCTCTGTTCACATTTTTCACCCACCATGTACAACCCCTTCTTGTCCAGGGAGGTCCCAGACTTATAATTAATTCAGCTGGCAACCACCACTCTACAAGAAAGATCTGTTCCCAAAGTCAGTAATGTAACTAAGATAGGACAAGCAGGCTACCAGCCCTGGGCATTGAATCATAGAAAGTTAGGGGTGGAAGGGACCTTGGAAAGTCATCTAGTTCAATCCCCTGTGGAAAGCAGGACTGTCCCCAACTATATTATCCCAGCTAAGATTTTGTCTAGCTGGGTCTTAAAAACCTCCAAGGATGGAGATTCCACCGCCTCTCTGGGTAATCTGCTCCATTGCTTTACTTCCCTCCTAGTGAGAGAGTTTTTCCTAATATTTAACCCAGGGGTCAGCACCCTCCAGTGCATGTGCCAGAGCATAGCACATGAAGCCATTTTGCTTGGCATGCCACCGCCAACCTAGGTTGTAGGCAGCTGCTGCTGGCCATGGAGTCTGGGTTGCTCGCAGCAGGTGGTGGGGAGGCTGCAAGTCCTGATGTGAGCAGCCCGGGCTCCATGGCTGGCAGCAGCTGCCCAGAACATGAGCTGGATGTGGTAGGCAGTTGTGAGCCTGTAAGCAGCTGCACTGAGGTCTGAAGTCCTGGCCCGGCTCATTCCTGTATGCACTTTGGGGAGCACTGCAGGGAGGGGGCCAAGGCTGCACTCCACTGCCAGGGGCTGCATACCCACAAAGCCTGGCATTCCTATGTGGCAGGTGGGGTGCAGAGTGAGGGGACAAAGGGCACATCCCACCAGACCCAGCTGCAAAGGGCAGGGTGAGCACAGCAGCCCTGCAAAGGAGGGCTCCGGCTGGATGGTCCCTCTGCCTTCGTCTGTGTCTCCTCTACCCACAGAGCTCATCTGCATGGTGGTTGAGGGAGCTGTGTGCCAGGCCTGAACCATGGCCCTGAGAATGGGGCAGGGCAGCTCTCAGCCTGGCCACAGGGCTGGGGGAAGTTGCTTGTGTGTGGGGGTGGTGTGGGAGGGGCAGCTGCTCTGGGGGCTCCTCCTCCCGTACATGAGCGCCGATGGGCTGAGCTGTGCTGCCAGCCCCTGCCCCTGATCCTGCTCCCGCTACTGCTGTGGGACAGCACGGACCTCAGCTACGGCCCTTGTCCCTGTTGTGGCCCCAGGGGTCCCAGCAGGGCCTGTGCTGCCTCTGTGTGTGTCACCCCTGCCTGGTCTGCAAAGGGGAAGGGGCCTACCCGCTCCATGCCCTGGCCCCTTCCTCACTGTGCTCCCTGAGGCAAATGACTGCACCAGGGTCCACAGCCCCAGCTCGGCTTGTTGCTGGAAGCAGCTGCATGCGTGCCTTGAGCGTGGCAGGGAAAGGGCAGGGGCTGTGCTGCCATGACAAGGATTGGACCCCTTGGGGCTCCTCCACTCTCCACTTCTGGTATGCCAGTATCTTTGAAGTCCAGGTTGTAGTTTTTTTTAGCACTTGGCCCAACAATGTTGCCAACCCCTGATCTAACCTAAACTTCCCTTGCTGCAACTTGACAGAATTGCTCCTTGTTCTGTTAACTATGTCAACTATGACGTGTGCCAGAATTGCCCCAGGAGTATTTGCTGTGGCAGGGGGCAGGGCAGCGTCACATCAAGGAGTGTATCTGGAGAGCGGGGTTATGAGTATGTCAGATATAATGATCCTCCCCACCCCCCCCGGAGCCTTTGCTGGAGGAGGTACAGAGCAGGAGTCTCACCCCATGGCTGCTGCTGCTGGAGCAAATCTGCTGCTGCTGTGAAAGCAGCAGGGGCAGCAGTAACCTGGAAAGATCAGCCTTCCCTTCCTCTTTCTCCCCTGTCCCCTTTCAGGTCTACAGTGCTTAGCATATATCCCAACCCTTCTCTCACCCCGGGCGCCCAATGAGCTCCCCCATGCCTCTGCTCAAAGGCAGAACGCTAAACCTGAAAAAGTGAATCGCATTATATATGAGGTACAAATGTAAATCTACTTTCAGAAAGTAGTCAACAAAAAAGACATACTGTAGGTCTGGCTCTTTGTGTGTGGTATAGCATTACATTATTAGTATTAATAAATCCAGTCAATAAAAAGGTGAAGCAACTTTTTCGTAAAGCAGGTCTTAAAACAGATCTTAAACCTCAGGCTTTAAAATCCAGGTGATAGCTGTTTGCAGCTCACTGGAGATAGCAAGCGATGTAAGACTGTCTTGTCTGTCTGCTCATCAAGATGATTTCTTGTCACTGCCAGCCTTTTCAAATTACACCAGAACTCACCCTTAAGAGGCACATGTTTTATAAGATACTCCTAGGAAGAATTTAATTGTTTGGAGGCACTGGTAGATTTTGCTTTTAAAAGGTTGTCATCCTGGTTGGTGTCAGTTTGGCAAGGAGTAGGTTTAAGAAGCTAAGGTTCTTTTGGGACACAGTGATCATGTACCTCATTGCAAGGGAAAAATCCTTATTCCAAACATAAAGCTGGTAATAGAAAGTTGATTACATTTCCTTCTTGTGTTTGTCCAGGGGTAAAGCACCTTTAAAAAAAAACTACACATGCAATCCTGGTATGTTGTTTTTGTCAGAAGTGCTTTAACATTCAACACTGAACTCAACATTGAACATTTCAGAAGCTTTCAAAATCTGAAACTCTTTTCCTTCATGTCCATTATTTCGCAGCCAGTGAGGATTGTAGCCAACATGCAAAGATATATCCATCTGGTCATGTTTTTCACATCTTCACTAAATCTTACAAATAAAATGTGCAGATTTCCTCTGTTTCTGCCACTGGGCCAAGAAATTTGAATGTTATGCTCACTCGGTGACACGTGTGAGTTCGTAGGCATCCTTGATTTCCTGTCCTGGTGATATGCTGCTATTGGACATTCCACATGTATTTTCCTGTGGAAAAAAGGAATTTTTTACCTGAGCATTTCCTTTTGTTTAACAGAAAGGCTATAGATACAATAAGTCCTTGTGCCAGCCGGATAGTTCTGAGGGAGACTTAAACTCTTGAAAGTCTCTTCCATAGTTTTTTTTCTATATACTTAATAGTTTTGGGGACCTTCTTAATAACCCTCAGTATTTGAATTTTAAGTAGTTATGCAGCAGCATGTGCTCATATGAATTTCTTCCTCAATTGAATACTGTAGGGGTATACCAGGCATAGGCAGTCAGTCTAAGAAGATTATGTGAGGTGAGGGGTTTACCATAGTGGAAGCCAGGGTCAAAGCTGGGTATCAAAGTAAGGGTCAAGACTAGGTTGTGGTCCAGGCAAGAACAAGAGCAAACAAGAACAAGCAAAAAGGCCCAAGAAAGCAATACTGAACCATTAGGGCTGTGTGAAATTTTGGCAGTTGTTTTGTTTTGGAGGTGTTTTGGCCTGTTTCGGTGCCCAAAACACCAAATCTGAAATGAAACAGAAGGCTCTGAAACATCTCCAAAACTAAACAAAACCATCTGAAACGTTTCGGAAATGTTTCAGGCATTTTGAAATGTTTTGGAGGTGCCCCCCTAGGAATAGTTTGGCAGAGCCCCCAGCCCTCCTTTTAAAGTGCCAGGAGCCTGGGGCCGGGCAGGGCAGCCATGGGGGCTTCTCTCACTGCTCCCCCTGCCGGGGCAGAGGCAGGCACAGCTGCAGGAGCCGCAGGAGAAGCCCCCATGGCTGCCCTGCCCAGCCTCACCCCACTTTCAGCCCCAGCCTCCTGGCACTTAAAAAAAGCCCGGCATTCACCGGCTGCAGCAGCGGTGATCAGGGCCTCTGAGGGCTCCTGGCAGAGCCCCCCTGCACAGTGGGGGGCAGTGGGGATTGTGCCTCTCTGCCTGGCACCTGCATGGCAGCTGTCCCATGGCACAGGTGCAGCACTGCACACTCTGGGAGCTGGGGCTGCTCGTGCGGAGTGGTGCTGGGCTCTGGTTGACTGCTGGAGCTGCCTCAGCTCCCAGACAATGCATGGCACCCTGCCGAGCCATGCTGCACCTGTGCCATAGGGCAGCTGCTGCGTGGGTGCCAGCTGGAGGGGCGATCCCTGCTGCCACCCATTTCCCCACGCTGCGCAAGGGGGCTGTGCTATGAGCCCTCAGAAGCTCTTATAGCCGCTGCTATAGCTGGTGAATGTGGGGGTTTTGGGTTTTTTTTGTTAAGTGCTGGGAGGCTGGGGCTGGGCAGGAGATGAAGCCAGGCAGGGCAGCCATGGAGGCTTCTCCTACAGATCCCCCCACCAGGGCAGAGGCAGACACACCTGGAGGAGCCGCGGGAGGACCTGCAGTTGCCCGGCTGTGCCTGCCTTCCTCGGCTAGCTACCTGGTAGTGCTGTGGTCGGGGCTCCTCTCTGTAGGTGCTAGTGTTTCAAGTTCAAGCCCTAGGTTTGCCTTCCCAATCTACTTTGTAGAGGTCTACCTTGAATTACCCGACTAGACCTTCAGATCTTTGGGTGTTCTCATTTGTCTTGATTGTCCAGTTTGATTCTAGCCTCTAAAGAGGTAAGTCACAAGTAAGACTCCTTGTAGTGGATACAGGCATTTCCTGCTAGAAGAAGGAAAATTTTCAAGCAAGTTAAATGTTCCATTTGTGTAATTCCATACATTTCACATGAATAGCAGAGAAGTTATGTTATGCAGCACAAATAAAGTCTAAAAATCATAAGAGCCTTTCTAAGAAAGCTCCTTCATGACTCTTACAAATTCACAGATATTCAATATTTCACTGGTACTTAGCTTTCTGTGAATTTAATAGTGTGTTTGTGCTCACTTCTCATGTTCCTTAGCCTATTCTTTTGTGCCTTATGGTTTTCTCTTAATTAGTCTAAAGCCTTTGATATTATTCTCTGCTGACCCAAGCTCAGAGCTTTTTCTTTAAAAACAAGAAACCAAGAAGTGTGGTTTGATGTTTAACACTTGTTGGATACATCATTTCAATCAACCCACTCTTTGTGTTTCTAGTCTTCTTAGACCTGTTTTAATGTTAACGTGTAACTTAATGATGGATTTCTAGATTAAACAGCCTTACCCCAAACAGCAGGTAAATTAGCAATTGCAGAAATCTTCAGTAAAGTACTGGGGAGCAATCTGCCTCCTCACATCTAATAAAATCATGTTCTGCAGCAGTGAATAGTAAAATTGCACTTTATTTTAGTGTAATTCATATTTTTTTCTGGTTGGCAAAGGCAACTGTTTTCTGCCTTTTTGGCAAAAAAATAAGTAAATAAATTTAACACCCAGTCTGAACTGCTGGACCGAGTAGTTACAGAACACTAAGGGAGAATATACTGAAACCAGGGCTATTCTGGGGCACACACATTATTTCAGACATCACTGAGACTTATGCTCTTCGGGGGCTTAGTACCATTGCTGTGCTCAGAATCTTTCTTTCTGGACCCCTTTCTGACTGATAACCTGCTTTTCTTCACCCTGATCACTTTCTTCTCCTGCCCCTAAACATGCTCATCTCCCTGTCCATATTCCCTTCTGACTGACAACATTATTGTTGACTCCAAGATGAACATGGGCCGGCAGTGTGGGGAGGCAGTCAAGAAGGCCAACCGTACCTTGTCATGCATCCACAGATGCATCTCGAGCAGGTCCAAAGAGGTGATCCTCCCCCTCTATGCGGCACTGGTCAGGCCGCAGTTGGAGTACTGCGTCCAGCTCTGGGCGCCGCATTTCAAGAGGGATGTGGACAGCATGGAGAGGGTCCAGAGGAGGGCCACACGCATGATCAGGGGACAGCAGGGCAGGCCCTATGAGGAGAGGCTA